ATATAAACACAGTTTTATAGTTATCTTAAGTTCAAATTTGGACGGAATTACATTTTAAATAACCAAGAATAACGATTTTAGTTAATTTTTTATAATTTAAATTTATTAATCGTGGCCCGTGGGTACTTGGAATTTCGCAAGTATATCATTATATCCATACAAATATTTAAATATGATAATATGCAAATAATATTAATTCAACTTACCGGCTACCGTATTCTTAATAACAATTTAAATATAATATAAAATATCCTATAGGCTGACAAACCGTTTCCGCTCAGAATCGATTTTCAATTTTCTTATACAACGATATTATATTATCATTGAATTCAAATTTAACACCATCAATTACAGTGACCCACTTGTAACTTACTGTAAGTCTGTACAACAGAGCGACATCTACTTACCCGCATTTTTTTACTATACATTATATAAAAAAGTAGTCTTATAAAAATATATTTTTTTTAAGTTACCTGTAATTTGTATAGGATACTAAGCACTAAAACATGTAAAATACGCATTTACTAAAAAAAAAAATTAACAACTAAACTTGATTTATATTAACATAATAAAACAAAAAAATAGTAAATATACTTTTATATTTTTAAAATAAAAATTAAGCATATCAAGTACTGCAGAAAATTAGTAATTAAACTAAATACATGAAAAATGGTTTCAAAAAAAATTTTTTTTTACTTTTTTTAGCTACAAGTTGTATTTGTACAAAACACTTTATTAAGTAGGAACATCTCAGATATTTTCGTATTGATTTAATGCTGAAAAACACGTTTGACATCAATTGGATTCCACGCCAAAATTTGTTATCTTAGTGTCTCACACAATTCGTGAACGTAGAAAAATGGCGGTTTTATGTTAAAAACATTGATTGTAATCTCCGAGGGTTTATATTATAATTAATATTCAGCTATATCGACCTGAATATGCAATTTAAAGATAAAAACATTATTTATTACATTTTATGTAGTAGAGATATTTTATATAATAATTATATTTAGTTAGTCTTATTAGTTATTACTACATAATGTATTGCTATACATGGTTTTATAGGTATTTTAAATTTAATAACAAAAATAATTACTGAAATATAATTTATAAGACAATATCTCATAATTGTATGTGTTCTGTAATTATTTCACTGAAGTAATTTGCTAACTTCACGTATGATTATTTAATTTTATTATAATATCATTATATGGTTCCCATATTTTTATATAGCCTGGTGGTTTTACTTGATTCTATAATTTAAACTAAAAATTGATTTTTGACAAGATTTTCTGGTAAAATATCAAAAACATAAATTAAGTATTATATAATTAGGTTCATTTTGCGTCAATAATATTATTATGCTATATAAATATATATGATTTATATCAATAAACCCCAGAAATCAAGGCTATTGTACAGTTCAACGGGTTACACAGATAAAGCATTTACATTATTAGGTTATATTTTTTTAAATACATTAAAAACTAACTACTGGATATGTATATCTAACCAAAATCTACATCAATTTCAAATGCTTTAATAAACTGTTGTGTAAAAACATAATTGATGTATGATATCGAATGATAATACTATATGAAACTAATTTGTACAAATAATGAATGGATTACAAAATTTGAAAACGAATTATTAATTTAAATACAATACGAATATATTAACGTTTAATGATTTATATGTATTATATTATCAAATATTTGTACGTAGAACATAATTATTTATATTTAAAAAAATATTCGTGAAGAATATTTTGTATTCTCAATACAATTTATCATTCTCGGAGAAAAATAAACATAATTTTCTTTTAGCATTAATCAACATTATACTTAAGTATACGCGTTATCGTTAAAGTAAACAGTTAAAACAATTATATCGATGATAAAAATGGTTAAAAATATTGTTTTTTAACGAGTTAAAGTTATGCAAAAAATTTTTTTCTAAAACGTTAATAGTTTTTGAATTAATAATGAATGTCTCACGTTAAATGGATCACCCAACAAATATGTATAATATATCTGCAAGTGCATACCTACCTATATTAAATGCTCACTATGGGAACTATTTGACCCATCCGAGAAAAGTACCTATAACAAAGGAGTTAGATTAAAATCGTTCACATAATGATATAACAGCTTAATGAATTTTTTGTAGTATCATTTTTTTCTCTTCATGTTATTATAATGGATTTATTGACATCGAAAACAACTTACAATTTCAGATATAATAATATCGACTGAGGTATTTAACGAAGAACACGTAACGAGTATTTAATGATACCTACCTATAGGTGCCTTACTATGTGAGTCACGACGAGTGTAACATATTAATCCCATAAAAGTATAATAGAATGTTGTAATAGTAATTACGTCACGTGTTTTACTTTTTTGATTCTGATATCGAATTGAACAGCGTTTTGGTCTTACGATGATATTTATCTGGATTTTATTTTATTTAGAAAGAAAAAAAATCTGATTACAATTTATGTCATGTCTATGTATTACTTAAATATTGTTATTTGTTCAATTTTATTACGTAGTAATATTAGTTATTACTATAGCTTTACTGATCGTACTACAAACTACCACTAATCGCTCTGAGAAATAGGAGAGAACTCACCAGACGTGATTTTAAGCGAACTCCGATCAAAATAAATGTTTTGACTGCAATGGTTTATTGCTATACTATCTAATTTAAATAATACTATTTTTTTATAAATAATAACAACCTATAGTCGGTTTATTCAGTGACAAAATATTTATTTTTTTTTTTGAACAGGTGCCTGAATATTTATATAAAAGTATATTTTATGAAATACTTATAGACATTGCAGTTTAATAAAAGTGTCCTTAATTTAAGCCTAATATATAATATTTTTTGAATATTTTACTTGTATTAATATTTTTTTTAATTGAAAAACTGTAAATGCAACATATTATAGTATGGTAAATCATAATATTTCAACTATTTATTTACTAATTAATCATCAAATCAATAAATATTATAATTTTTTAACGATATGATTTAATAAAGATTTAAATAGAGTTTCAACTAAATATGTTTATATGTAGTTACTATTATTTCAGGTCAAAAAGTATGAGAAATGTTCTTCCATAGGTACATTTTTTCTTTGTTTGGATTTAAACTGAGGAAAATAAAATATCTACTTGAACGCATATAATAACCATAACAGTCGTTCAGTTATAAACGATTATTTAAATTAGAAGTCTCTAAAGTCTCAGTGACTAAGTATATGGAATAAAATAAAAGATAAGATAGGTAATGAAATAAAAAAAATATAACTTTTTACGGTGCTTGAAATAAGTAGGTATAATTCGTGAAATATTAAACGAAAACTATTCTGAACACTTATCGTTAGATTGAGCTACATTTAAATATTAAAATAATATAATTTCGTTGAATAAAAGTAAACTGTTATTATTATTTTGTTCCGGTAATTGTCTAGGTATAAGAAAATCCGTTAAATACGTTGCAAAGTTTGCAGATTCTCATTTAAGACATATTTAAGCCACGAGTAGATTTTGTGAGTATCCGTTTTCGGCATAAACTTAACGGCGTATTGTCTGTGAACGCAGACACGCGATTTCCTGCACTGTTAAAATACACTCACAAAAAAATAAGTAACTTAAAAATGCAAATAATAATGATAGTAAAAAATAAAAACAATAATAATAAGAACGAGAAGAAAAAGAAGCAATCGACATTAAAAATGCAAATAATATTATACCCCAAAACTCGTTCCTTATATTCCGGAATGAAGCACTTGTTTTAAGTACGTCACTATATTATTATGAGTATATATATATGTATCGACCTCGTCTGTGTTTATGCCTTATGGTGAATTTAAATGCGTTTCATGCAAATATTGTTGTTAACCATATGCACCGAAATATTGCAGCTAATAGGTAAACTGCTCTTACCTGGTACCTGGCACTTGGTAGTTATTGTTGCAACCATCCTGCAATATTAACACCGGCGATACAGCACGATAACATCATGTATTTAAATTCAATATTATATCGGGTCTGAACTCACTACGAACTGTTACCGACACGTGTGTATAAAGGCTGAATACATAACATTAAGGTGTATTATAGGGGTGTATTGGTAGATGGACCTCGATCAGTGTATCGATGATGTATCCAGGGACTAGGGAGGTGACCTTACCCCAAGTTTCAGGAAAATTTAAAAATGCTTTAGTGAGTATTGTAATTTGTATGAAGGTCGCAAACGTCTAAAATTGTAAAATGTAACAAACTTATGAGGGATCCTATTTAAGCCTCTCCTACATACAAATGATCAGCTCTCGCCCCACCCCTAAACAAAATCTGGACTACGCCATACTGGCATACGACCGAAGGTTCAGATATTTTTTTAATAATAATAATACCTATGGTTATTACATTCGATTTGATACTAATAATTATTCTGGTATTTCAGTGACTTCGGCGCGGAATGCGATCGGTACGAATCATCATTAGATAGAGTATATTGGATTATTATCCATCCCCGGAGCCATTACGATGGAATTTCCTTGGAATTCTGGGTTGGTTCATTATTATTATTATTATTATTGATATGACGTATATTATATAGGGGACGATGTCACCACGCCGTAACCGCTCTACCACGAGATACCATCATTGTATAGCATATGATGGTCGCACCGAACACGATATGAGTCTAGACGTCGATGTTCTTATCTGCTGTGTACAACACGGAGAGTACGAAATTATGTCAGAGACGAAAAATAAAATAATATAAAGTAGTCACAATAATAACACACAAATGATAAGCGATATGATCGGGTCTCCGAGACGCCATCGCCATTGGGCCCGTCCACCGACGCCGTCGCCGATGCCGAGATAACGCCACCCCCGTGGAATAGGGAAACACCAAACGTATTTATAAAAGCCAAACACGTCTGTTCCGCACACCTAGTGACTTACAGAACATCCACCATGAACCACTACTTTTGGACATCGTCGTTGTTGCTCTTCGCCGCCGTGCAGTACTCGGCCGTCGCGTTCAAGATACCAGGTAACCAATTTATAATGTCATAATCGTTTAAACATAGTAATTTTCACTCACCTACACCGCTGGTCAGAAAATAATATAATTAATAACTGCATAAGGATAATATCATAGTATTCTGTTATAACGCCGTTTAGCGATACTATAAATTCGTCACATAATTTTTATTATTAATTCTCATTTATGGTTTAAACTTTAAAACGGTTATTATTAATCCAATCCGTCAATACTATAATTTATTAACTATAATCATCAAAGTAATTTGTTATAATACAAAAATGAGCTAGGTATAAAAATATTATTGATAAAAATATGTATCTATACATTACCTATATTATTATTTGACACGGTATTTATTTTGTTTTATAAAAGTATGTAAAAGTAAATATAAAAAGTTAGTATTTACCATTAATCGTTATGGTACAAAATGTTTTGACCCAAGTCTTCACACTTCTCTAATATCAAACGTCCCTTGATAATATTATGTTACAAAATAAAAAAAAGATTATTGATTTAATTTATTTTTAGTTTATCAAAAAATAGATTTGCCAAATAATATATTTTTATCAAGAGCAAGCAATAAAATATCGTTTCCATAAATGACAGTTTTTTTAATAAATAAAACTGTATGTCAATTAATATAAATCAAAATGATAACAGATTTGAAATTAAATTTTTGGTGTGCACAAAATAATCACAAGGGTAAAAGTTTTATATAATTTAATATCAAAATTAATTTTTTTTAATGACAGTTTAATTAACTTTTTAACGACTTGCTTTTGAAAAATTAATTTGTAGTTGAATCACAATGGCTCAAAAAAAAAATAATAATATACTTTATACTGAGAACTGAGAGGGTTTGAACCTAAATTCCAGTTTGTGTGAAATAATAATTTATTATTATACGCCATTCGGGTTTATTCTTTTATAATTTAATCGAGTTTCAATGAAAATATCTGTTGACAAATGTTATTATACTTATAAGTCAACAGAAGCCTTGTGTATTATTAAAATTCAACTGTGAGTACAATTAGTTTTTTCTTAAATAAAATAACATAATAAAAATCGTTTATTGTAGTATTTAATTGAATAACAAATTATTATATTGTTATGTAATAATTGTGCATTTCTTACCTTAATCAAAAAAAAAAATCGAAAATATTTTGGTCAACAATATGCTAATCATCATATTATATTATATATGGAAATACATGATAACTTACCAAGCATGCTCACCTCATTTTTCTTTTAATAATAAATATTCAAAACAGGATTTTAGGAACTTTTAAATACACAGAACATATTATATTGATGTGCTTGGATTTTTTTATCCCATTTAAGGAATACGATGCAAAGTTTTTTTTAAATTATATTCAACTTTTTGTATTAGTTATTTTAAGGACGTGATATTTCGAAAATGTTTATGTATTTAAGTCGAAATCCGAACGAGTTATTTTTATGCTGTTAAATTTTAGGTACTATATAGCTTATGCCTTATGGACGATGATAATAATAATATGTTAATAATATATAGAGGCTAATGCTATGGTAATTAATAACATCATAATAACAATAGTACAATAAATATTAGTTTATTAAATTATATAATACTAATTATTAGCAAAAATTTTTCGAGTATAATAACTTTTGGACTAAATATTATTAATTTTTTAATATAAGACCGTTATTGAGTAGTCTAATATTATACTTAAGGTTTGATGTCTTAGAACTACTCTCTGGAATTTTGATTTAGATGCATGTACATTTTTGAAAAAATCACCTTTTTAACAATTTACATTAGAACAGGGTGGTCCTTAATTGAAAAATATTAATTTATAGATACCAACGAAGGACACTCTCAAAATGGTAAAGATCTTAAAATTTGATGATAGTATATTAATATAATTTTTGAGTAGATATAATATAAAAAAATTTAAAAAATCAGAATTTTATTAATAAATGCATTATTAAAGAATAAAATATGGGTAATTTTATTATTGAACATGACTGATGATTGATGAATATCTAATAATATATTATATAAGTTTTATATATTAATCAAATTTTTACTGTGGGCAAATATAAATAACATTAATAATTTTTGACATAGGTTTTGTATTATAAAATAGACAATAGTGTAATGATTTTTATTATTTTTATATGTAATTTTTATTTTACTTAATAACATTATTATAATTGCGAGTTTCACTCGTTTAAATATTTAATTTATTATTTTATTATTATTGTCTTGTTTGTTTAAACAATAATGCATTGATACATTATAATGAACTCCAATACAATAAAATTCACACAATATGACACGATGAATGATGTTTTAATCATATTGTCAACTCGAATCACTGTCGTTCACATCACGTGTATTATAATATTTTGTTTTTAAAATCGTATACGTAAATAAAAATAAAATGTTGTACCTATCGTAAAAAATCAAGGTTAGTTGTAATAAAGGATATTTATGTAAGAAAACGTCAAACTGTATCATTTGGACGTGGGTTTTATGATTTGATAATCCAACATGACGTTATTTTGTTCGGTGAAGCATGACATTTAGCAGGTACTTACATCAAATACAAACATTTTCATCTACACAACATACTAAAAGTACTAGATTTGGACAATTTTTCACCGTGAGCATTTTCACCCATTACACATTTTTATGTTTGACATATAACTTCCTTACTTTTAAGTAAAAATCTATTGGTTTCGCAATATATATCTATTAGACCTACCACCTACCATTATGACAGTTCTACAACTCAGTAAATAGACAGCTATCTTATTTTTTTTTCTTTTCTTTTTCAACATAATATTATATTAATTTATTATTTTACATCAAATATAATGTTACGAGCTTTTCGACAAATAAATATGTATTGGTACTGTTACCACATGTATTTTTCATCCTTTTTTCACTAATTATAATATTATTTGATTTTTTTGTAAATTAACAAATTCTAAGGATTACATATAACCGTATTGTAGTTGTCCAATATGATATTATTAATTTTAAATCTTATATTATTTCAATAATTCTACTACTAATTATAAAAATAAAAAACTAATGTTTCCATATTCAAACAACTTCACAAGTTCTATATATTTTGAATGGAAATGTTTATAATTCGAAAATATAATATTGTCCAGGGCTGAGGAGTTTTGCTATTGTGAACCATGATATTCGTATATACACGAATAAAAGTTAATTTTTTAGATGATCCCACATCCGCATGGGTTTTATGAATCTTATAGTCGTACGACATAGACATTTTTGGTTCGGTACAGCCGATGGTCTGTAGTTAAATAAAAAAAATTGAACTATTATCATACATTATATTATTATAACAATTTAAATTTTAAACATGCACATAACTCGTTTAAATAAATAAATTAATGTACAGCATGGACAATGGACATACATTCCTATGAAATGGTCTTGGTCAGATTATAAATATATCTTAAATCTAACTTCACAAAATCAGTTATTCCAGACTCAAATTTATTGTGTTGTAGGACGGAGACAACATAATATTATTATTAGATGTCCTCTCTTTTATTTAGGTACTGCTATTTTTCGATATTTTTGACTATTTATAGACAACTATGTTGACCTATACACAGTTGTACAAGGGCCATTATATATTTTATGTATTATTATGTATGCATTGATTATCTAATAATAATATTTAAATCCATAAATTAAAAATATAAATACAATTATCAATACAGATAACCAATATCAAATGTCTATAAATGTCTATAATGTAAACTATAATAATCTATTTTGTTTATGAACACATACACGCACACACGCTTACCTTAAAAATTTAACCGATTTCGTCATACATTTTTGCAGGGTTGTCGTCCAGTAGCAGCGGCAGCAGCATTAACCGGACGCCACCTGTCAGGGGACCCGCAGCCAATGCTGGTGGCCACAGAGGACCGGAATCCGAGTACATGGGGCCGGTGTTCATAATCAGAGAGCTGGACAAGGACAAGGGAGAGTACGACGCGTTCGTGACGACCGGCGGCATACAGGAAGTGAGGCCGCCGCCGATGAGCGACAGGTCGCTGCCGCCGCAGCATGGCAAACCGTCCGCGGCCAGAGACGACGAGGACGCCGAGCACTTTGGCGTGCTGGTCACTCCCGAAACGGTCAAGCGGCTGGACCGCGACGAGAAGCTGAGGGCGTCGTCTATCAACGTGACCATGGCAGTGCTCCTGTCGGCCGCCTCGTCAAGGATGCCCTGGCTGTTGGTCCTGCACCGCAAACAGTATCCCCACCTGTTCGAGTACCAGCAACAGCAGCCCCAACATCAGTACCAGACGCACCCGCCGCAGCAACAGCAGCACCAGCCTCACCCGCAACAGCAGCCACAACAGTACCAACAACAGCAGCAACAGCAACAGCAGCCGCAGTACCTTCAGCCAGCGCAGTCCGACTCGGTTCAGGTCGACAGCGGCGTTCCGGGGCTCCAGCACCCGCAAATTCCACAGCGCCGTCGGTACCAGATGGACAGGCAGCGCCGAGCCATTCTGTATTCGTCACCCGACGACAGCCGAGCGCCGCTGACTATGGCGTTCGAGCACGAACTGCTGTCCACCATGTGCTACAACTTCGTCCGAGACTACTATTCGTCGCCGAAAACTTCATCCGCCGAACAGTCACCCAGGCTACCAATCACCCTGGTCGACGCCGATTACCGACCGGAGCGGGAACAGTACGGCCGTGTCGAGGACCGACGCGAGCGGGAACCGGAACCGGAACAGTACGCCCGGTATCGGCCCGACGTCTACTTGGACGCAGACGCTTATGCGGCCGCGGCCACAGCCCCTTCCGGCCGCGAGCAACAATCGCCGCCGCAGCCGGAACCTCAGGTGCAGCAGACATCGTCCACGGTCCGACCGGAAGAACGGTCCGACGGCGTCATCGTCGGCATGGAGATCCCAAAACGCGTTTCCTAGATTCGGACCGCAGACCGCGGTGGCGCAGTGCGTCTTTATTAGTTTATGATTTTCTGTTTTTCCTCGTCGCCAGTAGCTTAGCTCACAGTGTTCCTCCGGAACTCGCCTCATCGATATTACGCTTTCCGTCCAGACTCGACCGCTGTGCGTCCACATATTATCAGCTGTTTTTTCGCTTATTTTTTCATATTTCATTATTTGACGCGTTACGATCGATAACTATTGTATTATTGTATCGCCGTTCGTTGTTGTCGACAATATTATTAATTTCATATTATATTCTAATAAATGTTTAACTCGCGAATGTAATATTATATTATAACTATTAAACGCCATAAATAAAAACTTCTTTAATATTATGTACATGTATACTGAAAACTATTTTACATTTTTTACAGTAAATCATGGTATAAACTGGAGTGGATAGAAGTAAAAAAAAAAATGTTATGGTTGCTTAAAATATCGTTTGTCAATGATCACTATTGGTAATTAGTATTTATTGCCACCGCACAGTTCATAATATTATAGAATATAGAATATTGTAACTTGCAAATAAATAGGAAACTCGTCAATGATTTAAATTATAAGAGAACGTATGGTTCACTATATATTTTTGGTACCAATAACTCTACACGTATAAATATTTGGTGGAAAATGGTGAAAATACTTCTAGGAAAATATCTAATATATTATGTCTCAGAAAAAATATATCTCCTATACAAAATATCTATTTAATAAAAATAATATATTATATTATTATCACAGTCGGCATTAGACAATATTTTAAAAATATATTAGAAATTTTTAAATGCTAATGTAGTAACTGCGATAACCAGATGGCGTATAATATTTATTACTAATGGGCTACAACAATAAACGATAACTTATATGAAAATTATAAGAGAAGTTATAGACGGTGACTGCAGTGTGTAAAAAACAGAAATGAGTGACTTAGGTACATCAATAATACCTCTACAATACTTATTTCGAGCAAAAAGAATAAAAAAATAATGTTCAAGTAACTTTTACTTTCATTTTTTTTTATTAAAAAGTGTGTATTGAGTACCAAAATACAAATGCACCTCATTAAATACGAAATTTAAATATAAAAAGCAGTAACAATACCAGTTAATAAAAGAAAAACCTATTGAATTATTATATTGTTTGAATTCAAATGTACGTAAAACGGAATTGTCCGTTTGTAGCTTATATTATATAGGTAAACTCAAAAACTAAATAATAAATACTCGTTTTATCCATTACTTTAGAGCGTGTTGATTTTACGATTAAAACGGTTTTCTGGTCAAATGTTGATCAATTGACGATACTACCTAGTAATAACTAATATTAAATCATAGCCAAGAAAAGTGTTTGATTTATATGCATAAATATAATTCAGGCACTCTCAATACTCCGATAAATAAGACAATTACCTATTATATTTGTGTTATAAAGTACCTATGTACTATATAGTTGAACACAAAGTGTATGTCACAATCACATTGAAACTTTAAAATCGGGCTCATCTCATAAAGTTTTATTAAGAATCCATTTCATTTTTACGATCTCAAAATCAATTGTAATCTATTGTAATTTTAATGAATAATCATGATTTGAAAATTGAAAAAGTAACATTTTCCAATTTTTTTCATTAAACTTTTATGTAGCCATTTAAATATATAGTAAAGAGCAGTTTGAGGTGTCAAAATAAGCTCCTTCCTTTTAAAGATATATGTTACATAAATGTCGTTTTAAAAATTGTTTTCAATCCTTTTTCTATTTAGAACAAACATTTTTGAAAACATTTTTTGGCAAAATTGTTATTTAGCTGTGCCGTATACTATCTAGCTTAGTTTTTAAGCTTGCTCGGAAATCCTTCCACCACACAATTCTCTAAAAGTAAAATTTGTATTAATAAAGCCATCAACATATGGGTATATTTTGCCAACACCTAAGTTCGAAAATAGTAACATTTTCCCAATTTTATTTTTATCAATGTATCAGTTTAGAGACATTAATTGGTTGAAAAAATGTTAAATACACTTAAAATTGATACGCGTCAAAGTTTGTTTTTTTTTATGTTTGAAATACTAATATAAAACGGATAATTTGTTGTTTAGTGATGAATCTGGAAAATAATGTTCCTTTATTGTAATAGATGTTAGGTATTACTATAATTCTATAACTTGTAACAAAATATTATATGTCTGTATTTCTTTATCTTGGATATATTATAAAATTGTATAGTTTAAAGTATAAAATGAAATGTGTAAATCATACTCACAATAACTCTAAATTGTCTTTACAAAAATGTCAATACAAAGTTTTAACTGTACACGTCTATGTTAAGATAGGATAGTTGGTCTAAGGTACATACAGAGTATTATTGATTTTTAAGCAACATGAATAAATTAAGATTCAATATATTAAGTAGTTGTTTATTTTTATAAAGTAAATAACAAATTCATATGTTAACTAATTCATTTGTCCAATGAACATTTATTGTAGTTCCTAATTATTTTCTTCTTGTTTTAAACCGAAAGAATAGTTTATACGAAAATTATTAGGTTACTTACAAATTACTAGGGTGACATTAAGGTATTTTACTCCAGTGGCGGTTCTGGTAGTATTTTTTCGGTGAGGCAACCTATGTATCACCCCCCCCCCCACCCCCATACAAAATTAGAATTCACAATAAATGTAATTTAAAAACATAAAAACAATTATAATTGTATGAATGCTAATAATATACTTGTTTCGTATAGTAAATAATATAGTAAGTGATAGATAGGTAATAAACAGAGCATTTTAAAATTTGGTAGTTCTGAAAAGGACCTTTTGAGTAGGCCAACAAAACATTTTTTGTATATAATGACTCCCACATAACCAAGAGTGTTGTTGATATAAATTTGGATTAAATGACCTACAGAATACCTTACTTAGATTCTTGTCAGGAGCCAAAGCTTACAAAATCGGAATAGGCTTACCCACTTTTAGCAAATCATTTTTATTATCAGAATGCCATCGTCGAAACGGGGTCTAAAACAACATAACTACCACGTCTGTCACTGGATACGTCATAACTCCAACAGTAATTAATTTAATAATGTTTATTACAACAAACTGCAGCGTTATTTTAACGTAGACGTTAAGACGAACCAGAACCACCGAAAAAGTGTAAGACACAACTACAAAACTACAAAAGCGACTATTCGTACAAGACGTCAAGACAGAAATGACTAATGACAAATATAAAATTATTATCAATAGATATTACAACGGACAACGGTTAATTAGGAGTATTAGGACTGTCCCGAGTCTCGATTGTAACAATAACATCTTTACTGATAAGTGATAATGTGTTTTTACGTTGAAATGCCGGCTGATATTCCTGTATACCGAGTCTATTTTTAGTACATAAGGCGATGTTAGTCGAGCCTCGCAATGATCATTGCGCATGCGCAACTCTAGTTATTTAATAGTCGCGTGCATTCGCGTACATACGCTTGTGTGTGTAATTCATGTACACAATAGTACATACTCTGAGGCGGAGTTGAACGGAGCCTTCTGACGTCATCGGAACATTGCCGCCGGTTGAAACACCAGCGTTTGTTTACGTAATAATTATTTCATACATTTCTTATCGGTTTATCACTATTTTTGGTAATAAATACTTAATGATAATATGATTTACCATTTACAATATAATAAATGATAATTCATTTTGTTAAACTTGGCAAAGAAGATTTTTTTCTCAAATAAAATCATAAAAACGTTAAAAATTATTATCGAAATATGTAGGTACCTATATGCTATCGGTGGGCCAAAAATTATACTTTAATAGTATTTTTTACTTAAAATTGTAGGTTAGGCGGCGCCTCACTTGCCTCACCCCCAAAACCGCCACTGTTTTACTCTCATAATATTATTAATTACATCAAGAATCGATCCCAAAGTTCAAGACTAACAGTGTTGCTTAAATTATACAAGCTCTAAACATTGAAGTCAGCAATAACTTCATTAATATTCCAATAAATATTTTTTCTTACAATAATACTCACGCTTTATGAAAAGGAATATAATTAAAATTTGTAACTAAGAACTAATCGAAGTATCTAATTTAATTAAATTGTACGGACGCAGTATAGTTGGTTTTAATTTTGAGAAATGTTGAATAGATAATAATATTATATACTCTGGTATATTAAAACTATACAATTAGATCATTCTGTCACAATTATTCTTCACTATGTGAATTAACTTCTAGACCTTTGGTTTTGAACGAAATCAAACATTTTATCAAGCTTATCAAATAATAATATATCTGTGCGAAGCAGGGGGCTGCACAAGGAAGCCGGGCGACGGATGTACCTGGATGTGTGTGCACAGGCGGCAGCTACACGTAAACCGACGCGTTCGTTGTCTTCGTAGGTATAATATTCCTCGACGTTCTATCGGTGGGGAGGAGGATGAGAGAGTGGACTGTATTTAAGATAAATTCATAATATTGAGTTTAGGGTATTGGGATGAACATTAACAATTACGTTTTATGGTATGAAAAAAGTACAGAATAATTTATTTTGAATGTTCTGCAAATGTAGTAACTTAACGACTAGGGTTAGTAATAATAGTATAGTGTGCACGATCACAATCCGATCGGCAAATAAATCAATTACAAATAATGAAAATAATACACGGTGACGGTGCGCGTGATACGAAAAATAAACAACAACAATATTGTGTACGACCTGATATGCGTTGATACTCGATAATGCCGATGATACCGTGAGGGTGGTGTGATTGTCCCAGAACGACGATCAGCTGACGGAGGTGGAACCGGATCGCGACAGTACACCGCACGTAGACTAGGACAACGTCGGCCGGCAGGTCAACGAACCTATGAGCTTGCCGTGTAATAAAACGTCATGGTTGACAAATGTGTCGAAATCGGACGAAGCGGGTTCGAAAAGCTCGTACGGCCGCGTAATATCGTACGGTCG